TCACAACAGCCCCAGGAAATTGGTACCAGTGTTATCCTCATGGTACGTGAAGGATACTGAGACTTAGGTTGTGTAGCTTGCGGGTTGGACACACTTCTTTCGGACTGCTGGAGAGCTGTGCTTTTAACCACCTCTGATCCAGCTTGTTTTCCCCAGATGCAGGCCTGGGGTAGTCTCCTGTCTGGACTGAGAAGAGAATGGAGAAGAGCCCCTTCCCATTGTGAGTGGACAGGAAATGGGTATGGAGTAGCCAGGAGCTTCTGGAAACCAGAGTTCCTTTCCTCAGCTGAAAAGAACCCTAAGAGTAGACTGCCTGGGATTGCGTGGGGGATGGGAGGATCACTGGACCTGTGGGCCAGAGACTTGGGTTTGAGTCCCAGCTCTGACTTTGCTGAGACATCTCAGAAAGTCATCCAACCTCTGTGGGCCTTATTTTCAGTGATAGAACCTGTGGGTAATGATGACCTTTTAGTCCCATCCTATGACAATATGGTTTGTTTTTAAAGCCCGGTTAACACTGACTTCTCTCTCGTGTTTTCAGAGTGCCTTTGCATTGGTTTGGCTTTGGCTACGCAGCACTGGTTGCTTCTGGTGGGATTATTGGCTATGTAAAAGCAGGTATGGTTTTGTTGTTATTTAGCCTCTTAACATCTTCACGTTGTTCCAGTGAAATGTGAGTGCCCGGGTACCCCTGAGAAGCAAGCTCGTTAGAGTCAGGTTTGCTGTAGGACCCCAAGCTGGAGTGCAGGCTTCCTTGTCAGTGTTGCAGCTTCTGCACTTGCCTTCTGGTTATCTGGTGAAACTGAGCCAGGCCTCTTGTGGAATTACTTGTTTTTGCCTCTTTATCTAAAGATAGGCAGGGGTGGTTGTAGTTTGTTATTATCATTGACTACCATGCATCAGCCACGACCCCCAAGTGCTATCTCCGGGCTCAGGTAGGAGGAAACCTCTGGTCTACATAGACTGGTATTTTGAAGTCTCCTCATTATGCCAGGCAGGGGTGTGTGAGTGGCTGTGCTTTTTTCTGCCACCTAGTCCTTGCCTGCATTCCCACCCCAACCCCCACACCAGAATTCTTATTGTCCTGGTCTTCTATTTTTTTTAACCACCTGGCTGTATTTCCCTCTCCTTTTGTGATTTGCTGGAGGTCGTGCCTGTACACAGTTCCAGCCCTTCATGGTTGATCCGGCCTGTTTAGAAAGAAGGCCTAGCCGTAGTTCCATCTAAGGAGGGAAGATGGCCTTCTTTCCTTTCCTTAGATGGAAGTGCCCTGCCTATTAGAGGAGAGAAAAATGGGTTGGGAAGACCCTGACTTCTCTGAGAAGATAGCACACTCCCCGAAACATCTTCCTGCTTGAGTCCACCTTGGCTGTGAGCTGTGTTGAGAGTTCTCTGTGCTGTCCTCCTTTGTAGGGCAGGGGGTCTGGTGGATTCTGTTAGTGAAATAAGTGCCTCATGTTAAAAATGCGAGCTGTGTTTGCTTCCCTCTAGGCAGCGTGCCGTCCCTGGCTGCGGGGCTGCTCTTCGGCAGCCTAGCCGGCTTGGGTGCTTACCAGCTGTCTCAGGATCCAAGGAACGTTTGGGTTTTCCTAGGTATGTCTGCTTCAGTGTCTCCTTAGGGCAGCTGTGTTTCCAGAATACTCTTTTCCAAACGACCCTGGTTTGGTGGGATGGGGTGAGTTCTTCACACTTAACCTATGACAGTTTCACTTCTTCTACCAAGTCCTCAGAAAGTTTTAAAATGAGGGTGCAGAGGCAGGATTTGTGCTGGTTTCTGTTTATCTTTTATGTACAGAACATGGAAGGATTTCCATACCTCGTGAATGTATTTACCCAGTAGCATTAAACTTCTATAAGGCAAATGTGTCAGCCGGTGAGGTTGCCCATGGAAGACCACTGGCCTCAGCATCCCTAAAACATCACACATCTGGGTTAGGTTTGCATCCGAGTTGCAATTTCTCCATTTGAAAATCACCTCTTTAGCAGTTAGCTAAATGTGACTGCTCACACCAGTAATCCCAGCACTTTGGAAGGCCGAGGTGAGCAGATCACAAGGTGAGGAGTTCAAGACCAGCCTACCCAATATGGTGAAACTCCGTCTCTACTAAAAATACAAAAATTAGCTGGATATGGTGGCAGGTGCCTGTAGTCCCAGCTACTTGGGAGGCTGAGGCAGGAGAATCGCTTGAACCTGGGAGGCAGAGATTGCAGTGAGCTATCACACCACTGCACTCCAGCCTGGGAGACAGAGCAAGACGCCGTGTCAAAAAACAAAAAACATGGGCATAGAAGCAGAACTGGAAATGTACCCTCTGAGCAGCATGGACAGTGAGTGGGGTGGGGGACCGAGGAGTCCTTCTTATCAGGGTGGCTTTCAGCACAGTTCTGTGGGGCTCCACCTACGTGTCAGACGCTGCTAGGAGTGTGGGTTCCTCACTGTCTCCACAAACCCCGTGTGAGAATGAGTGCCATGTGGGAGGGAGAAGCCGTGTGATCTGTACACATCAGCCGGGGCTGGGAAGGGAGGTCAGTGATGGCTAATGGGGTGTGCTGGGGAAGGAGGTGCGTCCAGGTCCCAGCTCTGCCTAACAGCTCCCT